TTTCTTTCTTTCTTTCTTTCTTTCTTTCTTTCTTTCTTTCTTTCTTTCTTTCTTTCTTTCTTTCTTTCTTTCTTTCTTTCTTTCCTGTCTCTGTCCTTCTTTTTGAAATGGGTCAGCCAGGCTGTCTTCCAAGTCATGAGAGCCTCAGCCTTCTGAGTAAAGAGAAGCTTTATTCATGGTTGTCAACAATGTCAAATAACCCCAATGTCTTTCATCTATGAAATAGATAAGGTAACTCTGGTACATTCATACAACAAAATACAACTCAGAAATAAATACACAATGAATCTCAATTGCATTATGCAAAATGAAAGAAGACAGCCTTAAAAAAACTACATTCTGCTTAATACTAAGTGAAATAAATCAGAGAAGGTTAAATATCACAGTTTTCCTCTCATACAAGAAAGCCAAAATATAAATAATTTAAAGAGCAAAACAAGAGACATGGTAGGAAACAGGGAGGTAGAATCTGTGGCAACGGGAAGGGAATCTGGGGGAAGAAGAAAGAGGAGAGCTAAGTGGGAGAGGGGGAAATAAAAATGATCAAGACACCACTCGTATGTGTACTAATTCCCCAAGATGAATGTAATGATTATGTATTGCAAATATATACTAATAAATTAAATAAAAAGGCTACATTCTGTATGATCCACATATATGACATTCTTGAAAAAGAAACTTAAAGGAACAGAAAGTAAATCAGTGGTCATCAGGTGTTGAAGTCAGGGAAGGAACCGACGACACAGGAGCATCATGTGGGATTTTCAGCGGGGAGCTGGCACTGTTCTCTATCTCGAAGGTGGTGTGTACAGTTGCATGCATTTATGCAAGCTTATAGAGCTGGACACCAAAAAAGCAAATGTTAAAAAAAAGCAAATGTTACATAAACAAAATAAAAAGCTTATTCTGGCTGTTATTCAGAAATGCTGGAATGGAAGCAGGGAAACCAAGAAGGAAATTGTTCAGGGGGGCTCTGTTGGCAGCTTGGGGACCAGCAACAATGCTTTAAATACTCAGGACTCATCCAGTAAGAGGACGATGTATATTCTTTGAGTTGAGTGAGTAATCTTCTTTTCTGCCATTTCTAGATTTAATGAAATAACTTAATTTTTCGGCTTTTGATCTAATTGTTCTGCCCCTGGGAGGGCACCACCATCAGCTTTCCTATCAGGAACATTGACAAAGGGCCCCATGAGGCGCTGCATCTGCCCTGTCCGCTGCCAGTGTGATTAATAGCTCAGCTGGGGAATAACTGCAGGTCTCTTAGATTTGTACCCAATCATTTGCAACAATATCCTTGAGGTTCATTGGGCTGAGCAAGGTTCATCTAACCCAGGCAGGCTCCGTTGGAGAAGTTCTGACAAGAACGGGCATAAACTCAGTGTTTGTTTTGCCACCTTTTATGCAGGTACAATTCAATAAATCAAATGATACACTAACAGGAAAAATTCTGTTTATGCCAAAAAAAAATCCCCATAAGAAGCCTTCGTTCCTTCCAATTGCTTTGCACAGCACTGGTAATTCAAAGCTTATTTAAAGAATTCTCAGCAAGTGCTAGTTTTAATGAAATTACTGAAGTCAAAATTTAAGTACTGCTTTAAAAAGCTCAATTTAGATTTCAAGTAACTTTTGAAAAGCAGGTTCCCACATTAGAGCAACCACTTGATTATCTTATCCCCTTCCTAGCAATTAGGAGAACAAATGAAGCAATGGCTAGTTTGATGATAATTTTGAGGGTACTTGTAATCACTAATTTTAGAGGTAAAGTGGTAGGAAGAGTCTCCAAATGAATAATCATTAAATGTAGAAGTTTTGGGAAAAAGGGTTTCAGAAATGGATCATAAAATCAGTGGTGCCTTTCACCCATAGAGGTATGAAACATCATCTGAAAATGCAGGAGACTGTGCAAAAATTTCACATCTCCTGCATGTCTGATCAGGAGCTAATTGTGCTGATCTCTGTCCTTGGAGAATTAACCACTGTCTCCCAATTATTGTTGTTGTTCCCACTCAGCAAATGTTTCTTGACCCAGCAAATGACTCCATTAGAACTCTGACACACAAATCAGAGTGTGGGGCTGCCCTTGATGACTTCTCCCCCTCTCTCCACTTTGGCAATTCCCCAATCCTAAGGATATTACATATGAGGAGGTCCTTGACTCTGTCCACTTGTTTCCAATCTACCAATCTAAGCCACAGTCATTTTGGAACCGGAACTGAGCCATACACCAGCCTCCTAACTGTTCTTTTTGTTGTTGTTGTTGTTGTTGCTTTCAGCTTATTTATTTATTTATTTA